ATAAAAGATTCGTTCAATGTTTATAAAATGATCACTTTGTATATGCCATTATTCCTATCTTGGAATAAAAACTTATCTTCTTTAGTTATATTTGTTTTTTTTTGTAAATAGCAGCTTCTGTGCTATTCTTCCCATTTTATTAGTTAATTTAAACTTGAAAAAAGTCCCAAACATTTCTCTTTGTTCCAGCCTTATAAATAAAACATAGAGTGCACTTATGGTTTCTTTGATGAGTATTAATTGCATTATTTTGAGAGGAAATAGTGTGGTCAGTGATCTCCAGGGGCTCCCTGCTTAAAATCTCAGAAAAGACAGTTTTGGAAAGGAAATGATAAGTCCATAAAAACAAACATATATTAACATATGGAGGAATTCCTGAAAGAAGAAAGCAGACAACTTTAGGAGTACAGAACAGGAATGAAGCAAAGCACAGCTCAGACCATGCAGAGAAATGTGCGCAGACAGTTGGGTCACTGTGTTGTGTGCTTCAGAGGGGCTAAGGAAGCTGGAAAGGGGGCCTAGAGCAATTGTCATGGTGATGATAGTGTGGAGCAACTGGGCTATCCAGTTCCTTTGGGCTCTTCTGCAACACTTAGAGATGCCACCAGCCTGGGCTAAGCAGGTGGCCATTGCTAGGGCAGAGTGTGGAGCAGACTGTGGAGCCTTGAGGAGGAGGGCACGGGGTTCCAGCAAACAGTAGCGCTTGTGTCCATTGATGGACTCTTTTCTGTCTTAGGTGCTTCCAACATGAGAGCTGGGGGTAGGAGTGGCTTGTGATGGAGGAACTGACAAGGAGTGAAATTGAACTAAAATTCTGGATTTAATGGGGCAGGAGTGATTAACATGTTAGCAGAAAAGGAACATTTAAATATATGTTAAAACAACAGTAATCTCGGGATGTCCAACATCTAAACAGTAAAGGGAAAGCAGCACCAAAAACAAACAAACAAACAAAAAACCCCAGTGTATGTGGTATAAGGGAAGAAAAAGCTGGGGAAGGGAGAGAGAAGCAGCTTGGTAAATGAAGTAGATGGCAGAAACACATTCAAATGTATCCCTCATCACAATAAACATAAGTGGATTAAATTCATCTAATAGCAGATTGAGGCTCTCAGACCTGCTTAAGAAAGCTAACAGACTGGGCTTCAAAATTTTAGAAAATTAATGGACGAAGAGATAATTTTCAAAGTTAAATCCAGAGGGATGATAATGGTCACAAAACTTTGTAGATATGCCAGCACTACCATGAAATCTAGAAAGCCAGAACAGGAAAATAATAGGGTAATGATGGGATGGTTGCATGACCATGATTAGAGACTAGTACATCGCTCCAGAAATACAGGCAGAAGACCAATAGAAATGAGAGTCAACTGACACAGTAACACGTTTGATTTACAGTCATTAACCTCCAAAGAGGAGAGAGTTCTTGTGGAATAGAAATTCCAGGAAATGTTCTGTAACTAGACAGAGGCAATGTTTGCATTACATTGTGGATGTGCTAAATTACACTAATGGTAAATTTTAGGTGTATTTTGCCATAATGAAATTAAAACTATTCCAGAGCATTGGAAGGTATGGAAATCTGTACTTCTGCAAGACCAGAAATAGCAATCACCCTCAAACCAGAGAAGAGTAATAGATACACAGATGGTGACTCTTTTTCCCTGAATACTTAAAGCAATTTGAGAATTCTTGCAGTAAAGGAAGAGAAACGGGGCTGTATGAACAATGTTCACATGGATGTCAGGGTTCTCCTAGCAGATGTGGCAGCAGAGAGAGCACGGAACTTGAAACTCAGAGACTTGGTTTCATGCCTTGATTCCTTTGCCAGGTCACTTGGCCCCCTGGAGAATGTGTTAGCTATGAAATTAGCAACAGTCAGTAGCAAACATTTTTGAGCACCTAATAGGTGCCAGGCATTTAACTGGGTGACTGATTGCCTATTATTTAATCAACTCAACAATACTCTGAAGTAGATACCATTGGGACCATCTTACAGATGAAAAGCTGTGGCTCAGCGAGTTTGCATGACTTGTCTAAGATCACACATCTATCAAGAGACAGAACAAATCTAGATTCATGTTACAGGTGTAAGCATAGTTCCACTAACATCTCAGCTGCTTTCCGTCTTGAGTAATTGACTTCCAACAAATGTCACATATTAGAAAGGCACTATTGGCTCCAAAGGCTCTCTATATGATTAAAGTCCGGATCCAAAATTCTTTCACTGGGAGAGATGTATTGGGTCACCTGTGGGAGATAATGCCGGATGCCAGCATATAGCAAATACGTTACATTATATAGCATCCTGAGTCTGGGCAATCCCAGCATTAATGTTCAGAAACCCTTTTATAACAAAGGTTATAAACCCTTTAATAACAAGATTTGCATTATACTTCCCAGATCTGGCTTCAGAGTCTGCAGACAGCTCTTTCAGTGAAGACTATGAACCAAGGGCACGTCCAATGTCGACGGCTTTCATTTCTTTTTCAGTCTACTTGCTTAGGCAGACTTCCCAGCTCAGAAGGAATTAGCATTTTAATTAACAAAACAGTTGGAAAGCCGGTGCAGAGTTTTCAAGCCCTTCGTGTCTAGAGAAGAAACAAGAATCCACGACTACATTTGTCATTCACTGAATATGCTGTCCCAGTTTCCCTTTGCCTTTCTTTAACTCTGACGAGCACTAATTTCTCTCTCTTGGGATCTCTGGCTACTCTAACTCTGGCTCTTGCTCTATAAAAGGATCTTTCCCAAGGGTGGCAATCCACCCTATTAAGAAGGGTGGGTTTGGTTGCTGTTTTGGGTTGAATCACATCCCCGAAAATATATCCAGGTCCTAACCCCGGATACTTAAGAATGTGATCTTATTTGGAAATAAGGTTGTTGCTCATGTAATTAGTTGAGATGAAGTCATACTGGAATAGTGGGCTCCTAATCCAGTATGGCTGGTGTCTTGAGAGTGAGTAGCAGAGGAAGGCTGCCATGTGACCAACAAGACAGAGATTGGAACGATGAACCTACAAGCCAAGGGAACCACCAGAAGCTGGAAGAAAAAAAGTAGGATGCTTTCTTTAGCCTTTGGGGAGCACGGCCCTGGTGACACCTTGATTTTGAACTTGTAGCTTTAAAAGTTATGAGAAAATAGATTTCTGTTGTTTTAAGCCACATACTCTGCGGTGCTTTCTTATGGCAGCCCCAGGAAACTCATACAGTGGACAACGCATCCTTCATCTTTCAAGGTTTGGTGGAAGCTTCCTAAAATTCTGGCCCTGGATGAGGTCATGGCTGTAGGACTAAGGCTGATGAAAGGAACAATTTTGGGGTCTTTTGATCTTAGCTAAGGAGGCCAGTGGTCCAGCCAACCACACAAATAGACCTTAAGAGGTTTAGAGAATTAGGAAGATAATTTGCATTTGGTAACCAAGATCTTCCTTTATATTAAAGACAGCCACTACTAACCGAGCTCTTTTTGGTGCTTTTTTCATATTTATGATGCCATTTAATTCTTAAAGTCCAGGGGACAATCGTTACAATGTCTATTTCACAGATGTGACACGAGGCCCAAACAGGTGAAGGAACTTAAGTCACATGGCTGATAAGTGACAGAGGGAGGATCCGCCCCACAGTCCCGGCTCTGTGGCCACTGCTGGTGCTGCCCGTGGGATGATAGGGGGAACTTAATTTCTATTTGAAATTTGTTATTTAGATGTCATACAAACAATACTATACCAACAGATTAGAAGAAAACAAGCCAGGTTTCCCCACCCTTCACCAGACATCTATCTGCTGCATGCCAAGTGTCACTGGGCTCAGATCCTGACGTGAAGGAAACAGAAACCACCCCAGTCCTTGGGTCACTTGTGCCTCCTTAGCAAACCCATCATTTTCACTAAGGGCTTCATTCTAGACCTTTTCTCTGTATCTGGATGACTTCTACATATCACTGTGTAATTTTGTATCGTGTTCTTTTGAATAGTACGACCACAGTGTTTTTGTTGCTGAATAAGATTTATTCTTGTTATTTAATGGTGGCCTGATAAGTGGGATTTGGGTAAACTGAGTGGGTGATCGTGACTCACTCAGGTCCTTCATGGTGAGCCTTTCTTTTCAGTTGCTCTTTGGCCACGAGACTCTTGGGAAGATGCAGGAGGTACCGGTGGGCCCTGCTGCTTGCTCCCAAGCCTCAGCTTTGGTCCCTGAGTTGCTAAGCAGTGGGAGAAGGACCTTCCCTAACTTCTCTTTGCTTTTGTTTTCCCCATGTAGAAGATGGCAGTGGTCATGAGTGAATTTCTAGGATCTCCAAAATAAATAGAAGCTTGACACCCTGCCACTTCTGGGTCGGTCACACAACTGTCCTCTGCCCACCCCCGCCCCCTGCCCCTGGTGGCCCTGCATGCTTGGCGTCAGGCAATCACTCCAGCCAGAGGCCAGGGGAGAGGAATGGGTGGCCCCAGGGCCTCCCACAGCTCATGGAGTCCTACTGGGCAGACTGGAGAAGGTTAGTTACTACAGCTCATGTGATGTGACAATACGGTAAGCTTCTGGAACACCATCCTGTCATTGGTGGAAATTCTTAGGACATCTGAGCCCAAACCGATGAGCACGTAGCTATAGGAGAATGTGGCGGACTTCCAGGAGAGTGACAAACAGCAATAATAACACGATGCCAACACAAACATGCCAGCCAACGTTTATTATTTATTATGCACTAGGCACCGTGCTAAGCACTTTAATCTTCGAACAACTCTAAGAGCTGGGTACTGTTCATCTCCATCACACAGATGGGAAGACCAAGGCTCAGCGTGGAAGCGACTCGCCTGCAGACACACAGCTGGTAAGTGGTGGGGCCAGGGGTCCAGGTGAGTGCATCTGACTACAGAGCCCGAGTTACTTGTGAGAACATCGCTCGTCAGAATGCTAGGTGACCGAGCCGTCAGTCACTGTTTGCTTCGTTCAGTCTTCTGTTTCGTCCGGGTGGGCATGTCTGGGGGGTCCCCGGAGTCCAGAGCTGGGTCCATTCAGAGGGTCCCCGGGGCTCCGAGGGGTCATGGCTCCATGTGGTGGTGCTCTCGACACAGGGAGCCGAGGGCTTTCAGGAAGAGTTTTCTGAAGGAGGAGGACACGACGTTGTACAGGACAGGGGTCACCGCTGAACTAACGTAGAAAAGCGTGTTCGTCACCAGGTAGAAATAGTGATAGAAATTGTAGAGTGCCCTGGAAGAGAAACCCGGGAGGGCCTGTTAGAGGACCTGCACCTCCTCACTGCGCCCACCCCTTTCTCTGGAGAAGGCTTCTCTCCTCTGAAGGGCAGGTGAGGAAGGCCCATTTTCTGCTACCAGGAGGCGTGGCGGAATTCGATAAATGGTCCATTAACAGCTGCCCTTGGCAGATGTGCTCCACCTGGCCTCCGAGTCCCTGTTCCCCATGTAGTTCCTGGCCCCCTGCACAGTGAAAAAGGCACGTGCCAACTCTCAGGGGCCATTGCTGAGCCCACTGAGATGCTGAGGGCCTCCTGCTGTTGGGTGAGGTCCAGGAGATGTGGCTTCCCTAAGAAGTGAACGCCTTTCTGAGAAGCCAGGCTCCTCGCCACCAGGATTCTCAGCCGTGGGAAGGGCTTTGCATGTGCATCTGTGTGTAAGAGGAGGGAGGAGCTCTTGAGGATGCGGCTTCCATTGGCACAGCCATTTCCTTGGAGGCTACATGGATCTCTCTTTCCCTGGATGTTTGCCTTCCACTTAGGATTAGGGGCATAGTGCTATCCCAAAGGAAGACAGTAGATTCTCTCCTCTTTTCCAGTTGGGACCCAAAAGACATATATGGTCTGTCTCTGTCTAAGGGGCCCTTTAGCTCATGGACTCAGTGAGGCTCTGAGGCCTCCTGCCCTCCCTTTGCAATAGCAAGGCCCTCCCCTTGCTCCCCCCATCTGTGGGCTGCTCCATCCTGTGGTCAGGATGCCCATAGCCTTGACCACCATTAAGACCTCTCACTCACATGACCATATCAGTTCAGTGAAGTTGCCAGAAAATGCCCTGTTCTGCACCCCAGCTCAGAGGGTTTGAGGGCACAGACTGGGCAGGACCAGCTAGAGTGGAGGCCAGAGTTCCAAAAGACCCAGCCACTGGGAATCCCTGTGGAGAGCATAGAAAGTCCCAGGCCCAGCCCAGTGGCCCTTCCCTACACGCTTGGGTCCCTCTGCTGCACCTACCCAGTCCACCCGTCATCGGAAACGTAGCAGTACATGAGCCTGCGGACATGGTACGGCATCCAGCAGACGACATACACACCCACAATGGCTCCTGCAGAACAGGTGGGGAAGGACAGAGCGACAGAGAGCAAATGTTCCCAGTTACGCCATCTCCAGGGAGGAAGATGCTGAGCTGACCACAGCATTTCACTGGAACTTGTTCCCAGAATCCAGGGGTTGGGAGGGAACTTTGAGGCTGTCGGACACATTCTTATCTGGATCTGTAGCCAAACCTGATGGTACCCTGATGTCTGCGTGAATACCCACTTTAACCCCCACCTGTACACTGACATGCTTCTAGAAACTTCTACAACCTCTATAACCTCCTCCTGACCACCAGAATATACTCTCAAACCAGGACTAGATATTCCCACCTGATTGTCTAACTGCAGAGACAACTGAACTTAAATGTCATAAGCCTCTTCTGTTCCTTTTGCTGATTGACTGGTACTCCACCATCCGTCTAGTGCTCAACCCATAAGCCAGATTGTCTGTGGATAATTCCATGACCCCCAGATCCAATCCATAAAAAAGCTCTTTCCTTGCATCTCTCCATTCCTCCCTCCTCACCTCTACTGTCCCACCCAAGGGGCTCATATCTCCCCTTCACCAGACTGTGAGAGCAGTCTCCCAGTTCACCCCTTTGTCCCTAACCTCCTACCCCTCCATCCACTCCTCTACACCTGCCAAGACTGGTAAATCCATTTTGTTGTCCTGTGTGTCTTCTGGAGCAGGACATCGACATCAACTGGGAGCTTTGTAGAAATGCAGAGTCTCGGGCCCACCCAGAGCTACAGAATCAGAATCTCTGGATTGGGGCCTGGCAGTCTGTGTTTTACAACGCTCCACACTGTTCTCACGCACACGGAAGCTGGAGACGCATAGCCTACACTCCAGAGACTGCAGAGTAAAACCTATCTCCGAAGCAAATCTCCGTGCATTCTTGGACATCGAGTCTCTGTGCTACCTGTTGTCTATGGAAGAAAGTCCAGGCACATCATGGGCTGCCTCTGTTCTTGTCACGTCACATGACACTTAGATTTGCATGGCTGTCCTGTGGACAACACTGGGGGCATTGATGAGAGCAGACCCTGATCTCATTCAGTCTTCCCAGACCTTAGTGAGCACCTGCTTTACTGCAGATGTTGGGAAAGACCTGTTTTCCTGTGCCTCTTAATGTCTGCCCTAGAGGCCAAGTTGACCTAGAGACTTAGAAAAACCAACCAACAATCAATGTTGTATCAAGGAAAGCAAGGAGTTGGTGGGGAACTCAGGTGGCCTGAGTTTTCCACTCCCAGACTGTCCCTAAATATAGCTGTTTCTTATATTCACTCATAGGCTGGACTCCCTCCCTGAAAACCAACTGGGAATCTGCTTGTCTTTATGCGTTACTCCCTGGAGCAGATGGGGGTTTCATGTACAGAATTTGCATTCTAGCCTTTCGTCATACCACCAAACCTTATGGAAGCCTGTTGGTGATCATACAATTACCCTAAGGCATAGAGTAAAAGTGAGGCCTGGAAAGAGGTAGCAACTTGCTCAAGGTCACTTGGTCAGGGGTTAGGGGAGGCTTCCCTGGAGCCCCTGCTCCTCTGCTCAGGACAGTGTTACTGAGTACTTAACTGAGAACCTGGACGCTGTGCTGGAGACGGCGGAGACGGCTGGAGTCCTTGTGTTGCACCAGGCTGGCCTGGCCCCCCAGGGGGAGCGTCCTCCTCTCCTCACTTGTTAGCTCCATGTGGCTGGGGGTGGGGCTGGCTGGGGCGGAAGTGGATGGCACCTGGGAGCAGAGGGCCACCAGGTGGCTCACAGTGACCCCGTTCAGGAAGGCAGTTAATGCCAAGGGGAGCACGAAGGATACCAGCACATTCACCTGTAAAGGTAATTCCATGGCTTATGGTGGTGGCCCCAAGGCTCTGTGATGCTCTGGCCATCAGGCTGTGCCCAGGGCCCAGGAATCTGCAGCAGCAGGAGTGGGGTGGGGGGACGACAGCAGGGCTACAAGATAAGGTTGAGAAGCTTCTCAGAAAGATGGGAAAATACAATAAAAATAGGAGAGACAACAAGAACATTTGGGATTAGTTGAGGACACTCATGGTCTAAGTAACAGTGGGTTCCAGAAAGCAAATAGAGAAAACAAAGGGGAGCAAATCATTTTTTAAAATAAACCACATTGAAGAAAATTTTTCTAAGAGTGAGGGACATAAGCTTCCAGATTGAAAGGCTGCGTGAGGGCCCAAGGATGAAAATAAGTCCACATCAAGGCATGTTCTTGGGACTTTGAGCATGCTGTGAGTAAAGAAGACCTTGAAAACTTCCAGAGGGATAAGACAGAGCCATACAAAGGTGGGGAAGCAGAATGGTGTTGGACTTCTTTAAGGCAGCAGTGGGAGCTGGAAAACAGTGGAGTGATGCTTTACAACTTGTGAGGAATTCTGTGCCTGGCCATAATCTGGAACATTTTCAGATATGCAGAATTGCACTTTTTTTTTCTTCTGTGGACCTTTTCTCAGGTCACAGAAGGTTACGAGAGCATGTGTTCCATCAAAATAAGGTTGTAAACCAATAAAGAGATACCCAGAATCCAAAAATAGGGCCCATGGCAGAAGAGTAGAGTGATGGAAGATGTGGCTGCACATCCAGCTAGATTGGAGCAGGAGCAGGGGCTCCAGGGGCGACCGGAGGATGCGACTGACAGTTGCCCGAAGGGGTCTGGATGTACTGAGATAGTATTTATACTTCTAGTAGAGGAGTAAAACATGCATGAGAAATAGATCACAGGAAACTAAGCCAACTGAAAAAAGACCATTGTTGGTGGCAAGGAAGCAAACATAACGTGGGGAAGGAGCTATAATGGAAATATGTGACGTTTCATCTGTGAAGAATGTTTAGCACAGCTGCAGTACGCAAGCACTGAGCGTAAGACGAACCTTATTATACCCTGCCGTAATTGCCCTGGAGGAGTGGTGAGAAGCGTGTGTGGTTGCGGGACAAGGAGGGGAGGGTGGCCATGTGAGACAGCAGGATGCTCTTTCTCTCCAGTGAGAAGACACTGCATAAAATGAAAAAACTGCGAAGTCAAGCAGGCGTGTTCTTTAGAAATATGTAGGCAAAGAGCAGCTAGAGCTAAGGGGGACAGAGGCTGCCCCTCAACAGGAGAATATAAACCAGAGTGTGAAGGGGCCGTAAGGGGAACAGATGTTTTATGTTACAAGCCTTGTAACATAGTTATTAGTTGATATTTTTTGACTTATCAAAAACAAGCTTATTATATAATACCTTGGTTTTTTTTTATGTTTAATTTTTAAAATTCAAGGTTTATGGGGCACCTGGATGGTTCAGTTGGTGGAAGGTCTGATTCTCAGTTTCAGCTCAGGTCATGATCTTGGGGTCGTGGGATGAGGTCCCATGTCACGCTCCGCACAGAGAGCAGAGTCTGCCTGATTTTCTTCCCCCTCTGTTCTTCCCCGTGCTCGTGCTCTCTCCCTCTCTCTCAAATAAATAAATGAACAAAATCTTAAAAAAAAATTCAAAGTGTATGTGTTGTAGGGTTTTTCCTTATTGGTTCTGTGTGAACATTTTCTTTTAAATGGAACACTTTAAGATTTTATTATTATTTTTTTAAAGATCTATTTATTTATTTTGTTGGGGACAGAGGGGGAGTGGGAAAGAAAGAATCCTCAAGCAGATTTTTGAGCTGAGTATAGGGTCCCACAGGAGGCTTGATCCCAGAACCCCAGGATCACGACCTGAGCTGAAATGGAGAGTCCAACCCTTAATCGACTGAGCCAGCCAGGTGCCCCTAAACTGAATGTTATGTTCTTTTCACTTTTTTTTCTGTTAAAAAAAATTATTTGAGAGAGTGAGCGAGTGAGAGAAGGAACAGGGGGAGAGGGAGGGAGAAGCAGGTTCTCCGCTGAGCAGGGAGTCCGATGTGGGGCTTAATCTCAGGACTCTGGAATCATGACCTGAGCCGAAGGCAGACGCTGAAACATTTTAGTAACACTTTAAAGCATTTAATAACACTTTAAAATCGGTAGAAAATATCTGGGTTGGGTGCTGTAACTTTTTAAGGAGTTATCACTCATGCTCTTTTCTTGATGTGTGCTCACAAATCAGCAGCACTAAGAGATAAATAAAACACTGAGTGACAGTCATTTTAGTTAGTTGCAAAACCAAGCAGGGGTTTTATCAGCAGCAACATACTTATAATCAAATTGTAACTTTAATACCAGCCAAGACAGAAATGGAAGGTAAAAAATATATTCATTAGTTAATAATTAATCTTTGGGAGCTTTGAAGTACTATACAGTTTTTTGTACTTTCAATAACTATGAGCAATTTTTTTTTTTTTTTTGGTGGTCAAAAAGCACATAGATAAGGACCACGAGCGATAAGGCATTGAAAAAGAAGGTGCACCGAAATAATCTTAATATAAGTTTGGCTACCTTTTGTGTTAACATAGACTGTATGTCTCAGGTTAAACATTTAAAAAATTTATAAATATAAATATTTATAAAAATATTTTATAAATATAAATATTAATATATAAGAATGTAAGTATTCTTCAAATAATATTTTATAAATATAAATATTTTTATTATATAAGAATATAAATATTCTTCAACATTTGTTGAAGAATACTGTTACTGTGAAGGAATTCGCTACACATTTCAAAAACTTGCCCCTGGTGCATTTCAGTTTCTATTGCGTTAGTTCGCACCACATCAAGTATGCAAGCTGCATATTCACAGCACAGACCCTGCTGGACTCTCTCCCCGCCCTAAGCCCGACTCCAAAATAGGTGCAGCCTGGAAGCTACCACTGTAGTCTGTGAAGACTGGTGGGCCTTGGCTCCCAAGCCTTTTGAGCATGTGGTTGCTGGTTCATTGCCATGGCCACACCAGGGCGCAGAAGGGAGCTGCACAGTCAGACCTTAGGCAGGAGCTGTGGGGCTCTGACTCTTCAGCTAGATCATTCTGCTGCAGCTCAGAATCTGCGTAGAGGCTGCTGGGAGGTCGATGGGTGCTCTGGATATGCGGTTCTGTGGCAGTGATGTGCTTGGGCTGGCATGGGGGAACAACGTGTGGACTGGACCCATGAGGTCTCAGGTCATGACCAGTTGACCTGATGTGCTAGGAGGAGCAGCTCCCACTATTTCACTTAAAAAAAATTTTTTTTTAAAGATTTTATTTATTTATTTGACAGAGATCACAAGTAGGCAGAGAGGCAGGCAGAGAGGGAGAGGAGGAAGCAGGCTCCCCGTGGAGCAGAGAGCTCCCACTATTTCAATGGGTCCCCTCCTTCTGACTACTGTCTGGAGTCCCCGCATGACGAGTTTCCTTAGTGTCATTACTGTTCTGCCTGCTGTGTGTTTGCTTTTGTTCTTGTCTTTTTTATCATCATGTCCAGATTTGGGTAAAGAATTTGACAACCCACGAACATGTCTGATATACGAAGTGGATTTTTAAAAATTAGCGATTCTGCCTTGTGGCTTCTGAGTAATTCCCCATAGTGACCATAGTCAGTAACTTCTGAAGCCAAGTGGAAGGTTTTCTAATCAGGTTTAACTTAAAATTTTCCAAATTCTTGTCAAGGCTACAATTAATACATGTATTTCTTCTGAAATTCTTCATTAATATTGAATATTCAGGCCTCTCTTTTGTATCTCCACAAAATCTCTTTAAGCTGGATGTTCTGCAGTGAGGCTGAATAAAGGTGGTTAGTTTTGATGATAAAAAAAAAAGTAGAAAGCTGGAATGGGTTATGAAATCTATATTTTTACAGTCTCCCCTCCCCCACAATTATTTTGCCCAGTGATGTTTGGTCACTACTCCTGTAACACTGGGAAGAACGCAGACTTTCAGAGTTAGTTTTGAATTCAAACCTGAACTTCTCTTAGTGCCTCTATCTTTGCCAAGCCCCGTCCCGATCCTTCCTAAAATGGGGCAGTGAGACCCAAATTTCCGGGGTGGGGGGCGGTCGCGAATATTGGAAGTGAAAACACAGGCCCGTTAGCCTCCCTCCCCCTTACCTGAATGAAAACCTGGAGCGTGGCGCGGCTCACCAGCACAGTGCACACGCGCGAGGCGGGCTCCGGCTCCCCGCCCGCCGTCTCCACCTCGTACTTCTGCCCCATGATGATTGCCATGGGTAGGGCGAGGCCGAGCGAGACGGCCCAGATGAGCGACAGCAGGCGGCGGGTCCGACGCGGCGACAGCAGGCGGCGGGCGCGCAGGGGCTGGCACACAGCCAGGCAGCGCTCGGCGCTCAGGCCGGCTACGCTCAGCACGGTGGTGTAGGCGCACAGCTCGCGCACGAAGTAGTAAGCGCGGCAGCCCAGGTCGCCGAACACCCAGGGGTAGTGGAACCACACGAAGTTGTAGAGCTCCATGGGCACGCTGACCAGCAGCAGCAGCAGCCCGGAGAGCGCCAGGCTGAGCACGTGGTAGCGCAGGCGCCCCGGGGGCCCGGCGCGCCCCTTCAGCACCACGCGCACGGACAGCGCATTGCCCGCCGCGCCCAGGGCGAAGATGAGCGAGTAGAGCGCGGTGAACAGCACCTTGGCCCAGAGGCGCGTGTCCACGCCCAGCCGGGCGTCCAGGCTCAGCGCGGGACCCGAGCTGGGCTTCGGGGGCCGCGGGCTGCTGCTCTCCATCCCGCTCCCGCGGCCGGCGCTCCCTCCCTCTCACTGGGCGCAGACTGGGCGAGCTGCCCAGGGAGAAGAGCGAGCGCCTCCTCCTCTCCTGGAACCTCCAGAATGGGAGGACCCGCCCCCCGGGAGGGTGCCCCTGAGCAAACTCCCGGGCGGGACAGGACAGAGAGTGTAAGCCCGTGGCTGCGTTTACATTTCTCGGTTCAGTTCAACCCACGGGAGCACTGGGTGCTGGGTGGGAGGCGATACAGAGGGGTTGGGCCTGACTTACCAGCTGTGTGAAGTTGGGCAAGTTTTTTAACTTCTCAATCCATGTCTGCATTTGAGAATATATTATCTACACTGCAGAATCTCCACTGCAGAATCTCCGTGAAGATTAAATGAGCCAATCTGGGAGAAAGCTCCAAACCTTCAGCCTAGAGAGGCATCCCGCGGGTGCCACGCACCTGACCGGTTCTCTTGTGCTGCTGTGTGCCTGGAGTCCCAGAGACAGCTGCCCAAGGACTTGCCCGAACTTGGCCACTTTGCAGCTGGTACTCTTCTTGCTGAAGGGCTGTTTGAGCACCCCAGGAACATGCTCGAGGGATTCGCTGGGCACCGATAGATGCGTCCTTAGGGTATCAGGCTTTCCTGGGGTTTTAGGATGTTGTTCCCATGGAGCAGGGTGAGGAAGTGAAGTGTGTTAACATGCTTTAAAACCTTTCATTGGTCTCTCTCCTTAACCCTTGTAAATGCCAGAACTTTAGAGTTAAAAGGCCCTTAATTATCTTGTACTTAGAACCCCTGGTACTCACTAGAGCCAAACCCAGGTCTCCTGATTTTTTTGTCTTTGGCAAAATCGCCATGTTCCACTGATGTAAGTTTAATCTTCCATCCAGATAGATAATCTTACAGTCACATTGTGGGCTAAGGAGGCAACAAGTGGATTGGGGGGGGGGGCATGATTCAGTCCACAACAAGGATTCCATTCATGAGTTTAAGACAAATTTTCTTTGAAGCAAAATTAATAAATTTTTAACTCTTTACTGGGTTTTGTGTAGCTCAGGAAGTCCTGAGTTCCTGCTTCCCTTCGGAGAACTTCTCCAAGTACTCCGTCTCCCAAGGTCTAGGATGGAACAGTGGAGAAGACAGTGGGTTTGGGATCAGGAGAGGTGTCTAGGAGTCCCAGCACTGCCGTTCACTAGCTGTATGTCTCCAGCGAGCTGATGCATCAGCCTCTTACTCCTGTGTGAGAGCACTGAGCAGACAGGAGTCTTCAGGACTGGGGTCCCCGGGCTGTCGCTACGGGAGTCCGACCTTAACTCCTACATGTTAGAGAAGCTCAAAGACAAAGGGAGCGGTTCTTGGTTTTTCACTTGTGGCACTGGTGGGGCTGTCCAGGAGGTGAACGAGGTATTGCCGCTGTTTTAGGACCGCTCTAGGTAAGCGTCCTCTGTCATGTAGAAAGAGGAGAGTTTCCTCGGTGTCTTTGATGGATGAGCCCCTCCAGCCAGGTCAGAGGCAGCCTGCAAAATGCAGTTAATGTGGAAGTGAGGAGGAATCGGCCCCATTGACTCCCGCCGTGGGTTCCCCCTGTGGCCATGTCAGAGTGCTCACAATTTCTCTCTTCACCCAGGGGACCACAGCAGAGTGACCGACGTGCTCTCTGTTTGCATATCTCATTTGCGGTCCTTCTAACCTGAAACTCTCCTCAGAGAGTGTATCCATGTGTGGATGCTCCGGGCCTAGAGCTTGCTTCTTCCATCCCCATATGAACCCAACTTTGCCTCGGAATAGAAACAAAACATCATTTGTGTTAAGACTGGTTTCAGTCTGTCTTGGAAGACTCTGATCCCTGATATCCTCCATGTCCATGTTAGAATCCAAATCTTGGCTCTCCCGTTGAGCCCCAGGCCAGGCTAAATGATTTCACCTCGAACTATGCAGCCAATAACTCAGAACCAGTCAGTGCTAGAGGGACCCACCATGTATGTAGAAGGTCAGCACTTCTGAGCCCAGGGATGCCAGACATGGAGAGATGATGTTTTGGGCTGCCAGGTCAATCATGTAAAGTATTAACGAGGCTTCCTGGCCAGAACCTAGGGTGTCTGAGGCCAAGACCCTTTGCTTGCTTTGTGTGCCCAGATTCCTGAATTTCTTGCCTGTTATAAGCAAGATACAATCAAAAGGGCTTCTGCTATGGACTGCTTTATGTCCCTCTTCCCTCAATTCATATGCTGAAGCCTACGCCCCAGTGTGACTGTATTAGGAGTAAGGAAGTATTTAGGGTTAAATGAGGTCAGAAGGGTGGGGCCCTGCTCCCATAGGATTAGTGTCCTTGCAAGTGGTGGTACCAGAGAGCTCCCTCTCTCTCCGCCATCTGAGGACACGGTGAGATGCTCGCCAGGGAGAGAGTTCTTAACAGGAGCCAAATCAGTTGGCACCTTCATCACTTCCAGCCTCCAGAACTGTGAGCAACTGAGTTTCTGTTGTTGGAGCCTCCCAGTTTGTAATACTTCGCTGTGCTAACATAGCTTCCAGTCCCTATGCAGCTTTGGATCCTAGTGCCAGCTGATGACCGGGAGAGATTATTTGCTACTTGAACCTTAAAAAAGAAGAGTTAATGCCTGTTTCCCTCACTCCAGGATTGAGTCATGGTGTGATTTTCTGACTTGGAGAAACAGAGTTTACCTTCACAGCAACCACAGAGTGTGTGGGTGAGAGAGAGAGAGCTAGGCAGGCACGTACACACACACACACACACACACACACACACACACACACGCGTGCACGCGCCTCTTTCATTATGCATTTCTATATCTGTTTTTCATTCTTCTCAGCTCTGCCCTGAGCTTTCTGGCTTCCTCTTGGGTTCAGCACATGGTGACAATGAGAAACTGGGAGGAGAGAGTTGAAAATTTTGTTCTTTTCACTACCCCCCCCACTGGATTACCACGGACTGGCCCCCACCCTTGGCACCCTCCACCCAAACCCCTGCAGGGTTCTCCTCCAGCGACTTCGTGTGCTCGCCGCCTTCCATGGCTGCCGTCAGGTGGCTTCAGACGATGCAAAGTAAGTGTCTCGAAGTTCAGTAGATCAGAAATACAGGTCTGGTGGGGCTACCATCAAGGTGTTGGCAGGGTAGAGTGTGTTCCTTCTGGAAGCCCTAGCAGAGAACCTGTGTCCTTGCCTTCCAGTTGCTGCAAGCTGTCAGCGCCATTGACTTGTGGTCTCCTCCTTCTCCAGGTCAGCAAGGTCATGCCAGATCGCTCCTATGCTGCTGTTTCTGCCTCTCTCCTGCCTCCCCCTTCTTCTTTTAAAGAACCTGTGATTATATCGGGCCCACCTGATATACACAGCAAGGACAGAGATTGCGGTGACAGGCAGTGGTGACAAGTGTGTTCCAAGCTCTACAGTGGCAAAGCTAGAGGATAGTCTGGGGCGACTACTCAGGTGATTGTTTGGAGATAATCCTCCCCATTTTAAGCCCAGCCAACCAGCAACCTTAATTTCTCTTTGCCATGTAATGTGACCTCCAGGATGTGACATGGACACAGGTTCTGGGGATTAGGATGTGGACGCTTTCGGGGCGGGGGTGATCCCCTGCAATCTACCCCTGGGCTCAGGCCCCGCCCCCTTCCCCTTTCCCCAGCCCAGGCTGGCCTTGGCCCCTCCTCTGGCTGGTGCTGGACTTGTTGCTGCCCCCTGGCGGTCTTCCTCAGGTCTGCCCATATCTTGTCAACCGTCTTCTGGATGGGTTTCCATAAGGACTCAGCTCAAGCGTCCTGTCCGTTTTCTACGGGGACCTTGATGGGTCTAGCGTATGTATATGATAAAGGACTGACTCTTAGCCAAAATACGCACAGAACCCTTCAAGCTCAACTATAAGAAAACCAACAACTCGGTTAAAAAATGGGCCAAAGACCTTTGCAGACACCTCAGCAAAGAAGACACACAAGCAAACATAGGAAAAGATGCTCCCCATCGTAAGGAATCAGGGAGATGCAAATTACAACCACCACGAGGTACCCCTACACCTCTGTTAGGACGGCAAACGTCTGGAACCCTGACAGTGCCCGATGCTGACGAGGCCGGGAGCAGCAGGAACGTTCGCGCACCACTGGGGGATGCAGAAGGGGCAGCCACTTTGGAAGACAGTTGGGCGGTTTCTTACAAAGCTGAACCTACTCTTACCATATAATCCAGAAATTGTGCTCCTTGGTCTTTACCCGAAGGAGTTGGAAACTTATGCTTACACACAAACCTTACGTGCATACCGAGGATGGTAGCAGCTGTAGTCAGAACTGCCCAAACTTGGGAGCAACTCAGAATTCTTCCATAGATGAATGGATGAACAGGCTGTGGTCCTTCCAGAAGACGGAATAGCAGTGAGCGCTAGAAAGAAATGAGCTCTCAGACCAGGGAAAGACACGGAGGGCAGGAGGGATGAACAGGTGGGGCCCAGAGGATTTTTAGGGCAGTGAAACACTCTGCGTGCTACTGAAAAGGTAGAAACCACAGACCACACCACACCAGTAATGAACCCTCATGTCAACAGTGGACTTGGGGTGACAGTGATGTCAGTGTAGGTTCACCAGCTGTAAGAATTATACTGATCAGGTGCCGGGATGATGATCGTGGGGAAGGTGTGTCTATATGGGAACACAGTATATGAGAACGCTCTGTACTTTCAGATCAAATTAGCAGATGAACCTAAACTACTCTAGAAAAATTAAGTTTATTAATTAAAAAAAAAAAACCCACCGAATGTGACTTTTTTCCCAGGCTTTGTCCTTGCCAATGCATAGCCGAAGAGGAGCCAAGGGGAGAAAGTTCTGTCCAGAGGGGTCCCCACTGTGGCGGGGGTGACGTGATGCAGACTCCCAGGTAAGTCCCCTCCCTGTCACGCTCTACGTGTTGGATGAGGGGACTTTCTCCACTTCTTCCTGGCCACGGGATCCTCCCTGAGCTTGTCTCCTTTTCTGGGAAAGAGCAAACCTTGAAGATTAGAGAAGGCATGTGTGAGCAAACACTAG